TAGGTTCTGAGATGATTTCCTTAGGATTCCTGTCTTGAGGTGGGGTGTTGCTCATTGTAATCCCAGCTACTGGGGCAGTGGAGGAAGGAAGGCCAGTGTGAGGTGGACCTAGGCTGCTCTGCGAGACCCTGTCTCCTGATTAAAAGGGGCGGGGGAACTGGGCATGTGGCTCAGGGGTTCAGCATTTGCCTCACACGAGGCCTCGGGTCCCACCCAGTCCTGTAAAAGGTAAAAAATAAAAAACATGAAATGTAGTAGACAAGGTGCGAGGAGTTTCCCCTCAGTCAGTAATGTCCCCAACACTTCTAACTATCCAAGGACCCTGTGGCCTCTGCATGTCAAAGCCAAGGGGCTCTGCAGCCTCACTGGCCTTTGCTCATTGGCCACTTGTTTCCTCCTTGGAGTTGCTCTGCTGCCGTCCTGGTTCTCCGTCTCTTGACCTGGCTCCTCGCTCTTGTTTGGCTCTGAGGCTGCAGTGCTTCGCTTCTCTGACCTGGGTTCCCTTCTCTGTCTACCCTCTTTTTAGGTTGCTGATGACCCCTTCCACTTCATGAGTCTCACAGGCGCATCCCCAGCGCCAAGCTTTTGTGTGTAGCCCCCGGGGCTCCCGCGGGCTTTGTGCTCCATGCCAGGCACCTCCCCTGCCATGTTCACACAGCTGCCAAGGTGCTGCCCTTTCCGAGAAGCACAGGACCACCTCCCAGATCCACTTCCACAGGCGGTCGAGCCCGCCGCTCCTCCTGTTGCCACCTGACCCAAGCTCTCTGCACCTGGCCTCAGCACCTGCCTCAGCCATCATGGCCCCTACTAACCATGCTGATGGTGTTCGCAGATCTGACTCCCGCCTCCAGACCCAAACCAGGGTCAGGCAGCGTCTGGAAAGTGTCAGAAGCTTGATACTTAGGCTTTTTGGGCCGCGGAAGCCTGCTGCACCCCCAGCCAGTGCTTCACCAATGAAAAGCCCATTCCTCAGTGGGCTGCACAGAAGGGCCACAGAGCATCTGCTCGCTGGGTTCAGTAAGGCAGTGCCTCCTATGTCCTGGTGGCTGAAGGAGAGCAGGGGCCTTCTGGACAGCAGCTTATCTCCTTGAACCCCTGAGATGGAGATGCTCCCCACCCCACTGCCTTGGGGATTCCCCCTGCCAGCCCCACAGCTATGGTGCCTCCCAGCCCTGCTGCCATGTAGCAGCCTGGTAATGTCCCCCTACGTTGGACCACCTGAGGATAGACACGTCAATCACATGGCCCGCCATGCCCCATCATACCCAGGGCAGTCCAGAGGCCCTGAGGTCAACTTTCGGCCTCTGCTTATCTGTCTTGCCGTTCTTGCTGTAGGCTGGTTTCTAGGCAGGGGTGTGTGGTGGGGACGAGAGGTCACCTGGCTGCCCACGCAGTTAAGAAGGTGGGCACAGAGGGGCCTGAGTGCAGAACACAGGGGCCACAACTGTCCGCGTTGTGACTCGGCTCCATGGGGGAGGAGGCGGCACAGCGTGAGCTGGGGAGATGCACAGTGATGAGTGGTTGTCTCGGTGGTCAGTGCCATCTGCTTCTGCCACTCCAGTGCCACACTTCTGGAAATGTAGTACAAAAATATTACTCAAATGAATGTACCATGACATCCTGCTTCCCGCTTATTAGCAGATGTTCCTTTTTCCTTTTTATGTTGTGGTCCTGGGATTGAACCAGGTCTTCACACAGAGCTAACTCTGCTGAACTTTATTTATTTCTTTAGAGACAGGCTCTCACTATGTCATTCAGTTGCCCAGTTTGGGCTCAAACTTGTGATCCTCCTGCCTCAGCCTTCCAGAGCTCTGGGCTTACAGGTATGTATCATGCCTGGCTTCTTTCTGACTTTAACCCTAAGAAATGTCAATGATCTACTTTACAATTTAAAGGTATCTGTCTTTTTTCAAATAGGTTGAGCAGAATTAAAACACAATGAACTTTTTTCAGACACAAATTTGGTTGTATATAGGGCTGACAGTGACACGGGGTTCAAAAGAACAAGAGCAAAGCTGTCCTTCGTGTTCAGTGATGACAGATACATACCCTGCCCCAGGTGTGCTGGCCAGTCATCCTGACCAGTGGCTGTGAGCTGCAATACCAGTGTGGCAGGCTGGGAATGGGCCGGGAATCGGGGTACACCGAGACAGCCTTGGTGGGCAGCTCCTGGTATGCTCCCCTCCTCCAGCATGTAACCCCCCTTCTCCGTTTGCAGAGGACATGGACTCTTACACCAGGAGCCCTGTGCATTTCCTTAGCCAGAAGCCCAGTCTGCGGCCGAGGTTGCACCTCCTGGGCCTTCCTTTTCCCAGTTCCCATGAGGAATGGGTCCACCCCACTGGGTGTACCAGAGTCTGCCAGAGGGAGAGCATCCCCTGTCTGTAGAACCCCCACATCACCAATCTGCAGCATCAGTATGACCCTACCTATGGGTGCAGTTCTCTGGCTGTCACCTCAGCCAACTGAACGGAAAGCAGCCTAAGCGAAGGCCACGTCTCTGGGCATCGAGGATCAAACAGAATCTCACAGGCAGGATGTGGCGTCACCTGTGCTCTCAAGGCAGCGCTTGTCCCACAATCTGCAGCAGCCACACAGAGACATGGGACAGGCACCTGCAGGTACCAGCATGGTACTGTTGACTACACTTTACCTTGAGGACCAGCAGGTAGATGGCCATGCCTGCCACAGTGGCCAGCACCTCAGAGGGGACAGGGCGCTCTCTTCAGGCCCCTGGGTGTTGAACTTGACTGTGAACAGAAAGCAATGGCAGCAGTGTCCTCGGTGCTCCCCAGGAACAGGGAGGAGCCCATCTGGATACACCTGACCTCGTAGGTACTCAGGGCAAGCAAGGATGCCAGGCTCCCTGACCAGCTGGCAGTGCCCTGGGGTCTTGCCTCTGGTGACTAGAGGGGAGAGGGCCACCGTCCCAGGTCAGGGGGAATAAAGGCCATCTTCGTGGGCAGTCTATGACATGTGTGACAGGAGAGATGTGCACAGGCTCCTGGCTTGGGCCTCAGGAGCTAGAGAGGCCAGGTGGTGGCAGTGTGAGGGTCTCCACCAGGGCCACTGCCTTCTTCCTGTACTGCTGCCAAGGGAACAGGAGGCTGAGACAGACACACAAAGCAATTCCCCCTCCCTGCTGCAGACTACAGCCATGGAGGTCTGTGGAAGACGGCCGTGGTGAAAATGGCTGTGCTTGGCCAGAGGCTGGAGAGGTCACTCTGGGATCTGCACTCCCGCAGGCAAGGCACAGGTGCTGTGAGACACAGCAGTGGACAGACAGCTGATGGCGGATGACTGCTGGCCCTGTCCTCCCATGTTCCCTGGCCTTGGCCTGTGGGAGGGTAGCTGACATCGCAACTCTGAGAGGAACCAGACTAGCTGGGCCTGCACAGGCTGCAGGCCCACAGGCTCACCAGTAAGGGCGGCTGCAGCGCTCTGCTTCAGGCACACCCTGCTGGGTCCAGATCTGCTTACTGAGGATGAAGCATGAGAAGGCTCCCGATAGCCCCTGTGTCACTCAGACCACTGCCTGTGTCCCCGGGCCACTCCCTGCAATTTAGCCGAATACAGCATAAAGGGCGTGCTCAGGAACAGACTGCCCAAGAGACAGCATTTCCTCTTTGCTGGTCACTGATGCAGACTCTCGGCTGCCCCCAGTCGCTCTGAAGCACACCTACGGGTGCAGCTCTGGGGTGGGGCAAGGCTGTCTCCAAGCACTGGGGGTGCCAACCAGGTTCAAGGGCTATATGGGCAGTTTCCCTGTATTCCACTTCCATCACTCATTTTATAACCAAGCACACAGGGTGTGCGTGTGTCCAGTGCCCGTGGCTATGAGATGGTGGGGCCTGAACTTGACTTGGTGTCTAGGCCCTCCAAAGTTGCAAACCCAGCTGTCCACAGCCCCTCAGCTTCCCCTAGGAGTCACTGCGACTGCTGCCTGCTCTGTGCCCAGGTCCAGTTCTGCAGCTACCCAGGGAGCTTTCAGTGTTTCTGCTCTCCCTCAACCTATTAGCTCCGCATAGGTGACATGAAGCTAAGACTGTGGCAGAGTGAGGGCGCTGTCCCGCAGGCCTGGTGGGAGGCTTTGTGCTGGTCGGCAGTCCCTGGCAGAGCTGAGCTTGCCCTGGGGAGCACAGCACAGCCTGTGCTGGGCACAGGGCTTCGAAGACTCCGAGGCTCTGGCTGACGCCATCCTCAGCTGTGAATTTGATTCTAGCAGAACAGATAAACCCATGAAGAGCGCTCAACACAGGTTTATCACATGGATTAAAAAAAAAAAAAGCTTTAAGATTCCTTTATGAAAACCAAGCTGTCCACTAGCTCCCTAACTTCGGTAGGCTGGATGTGCTTCTAACTTCAACGTGAATTCTAACCACAGCCTGGAGGAGCTGCTCTGGAGGGTCCAGCACCGCAGCCCGCTGTGCTGTGCTACCATCAGAGCGGCTCCCAGGACATGCCTGACACCAGGATTCAGGGGCCTCGGTCTCCCTTTTGGATTCAGTCGCGTCCTGGCCTCGCCTCCGTCTGGCAGCACCCAGGACGCTCAGGAGCGGGACCAGATGCTGCCCAGCAGCCACCAGGCCAGGGGCGCTCTGAGGCCAGGTCCTCAGCTTGGCCTGGCCTGGCCCGGCCCCGCTCACTGAGCGCTGGGTTCGTGAGGCCGGTGCGGTCTGCTGGGCTCGGTCTCCGCGAGCGGCCGCCCGAACCACGCTCGCTCAGAAAGCAGCAGCCAGGGCTGCGTCTCCACGGCGGGGGAAGCGGCGCGCGACACCCGACGCTCTCCACGGGGCCAAGTCACCAAGCCTGAGCCCCTAGTCCAGCAGGGTCCAAACCAAGCGGCCGAAGCAGCTCCCTGCCGAAGGTGAGTGCGCGCACGCTGGCGTCTGGTCTCTGGCTCCGCCCCCAGCGCGCGCGCCCCCGCGGCGACGGGCGGGGCGGGGCGGGACAGCAAGGGGCGGAGCCGCGGCGGGGCTGAGGGCAAGCTGTGGGAGCGGGCCAGGCCGGGTCTGACGAGACGCAGCGCGCAGCGGGCAGACTAGGGAGCGGACGCGGCGGGCGGAGGTGAGGCGGCAGTGGCGGCTCCGGGGCGGGAGGCAAGGCCGCGGGGCAGCCCGCGTAGACCTGGCTCCGAGAGCGGCGGCGCCCAGGCACGGCGGGGAGGAGGCTGCGCCCGGGCTCGTCTGCATCCGCGTGGGAGCGCAGCGCCAGGGAGAGCGCGCCGGGGTAGGGGAACTGAGCCCGGAGGAGAGAAGGCTGCGACCCCTGGAGGGGAGGCTGTGCCAGGGAGAGGGCCTCCGGTCCTGCAGGAGAGCTCGCGCCTCTGGGTGAAGCCGCGGCTGGGTTGGAGGCACCGTGACCCGAGGAGGGTGGTGTGCCCGGGAATGGGCTGCTGTGTCCCCAGGACAGGCTGCGCCCGGGGAGAGGGCGCTGCGCTCCTGGGAGGGACCCGGCGGCTCCGGGACCGGCGGGTCCGCAAGCCCGCACCTCCCCCCCCCACGGGCACAGGGTCAGCGCTAGACGTCGTGCGGCGGCGGCTCCGGCCGAGAGGACCCCGCGGTGCCATCCGGGCGGCGGGCCGGTGCGGTGACGCGCTCGCGCAGGCTGCAGAAGGACGATTGCGTGGTGGCGGTGCGCGTCAGATGGGCCGGGGACGAGGCCGTGCGGGGCCCTCGCCTGGCGCGTGCGTCTGAGCCCGCACCCGGCGTCTGGTTGGCGGTGGTGTCTTTGCCCGCAGGTGTTGGGGATCCCACCGTCGCGTGCCATTCTGGAAGTGCCACAAGAAAGTGGTCCTGCTCCAAACTTGTTTCTGTACTCTTTTAGCGCCTTAACCAGAAGATGGACCGGAACGGCAGTTTTATGTTGAAATGTGCGTGTAACCTTTCCGTGCCACTGGGTTTTGCTGAGGTAGCGTCGCTGTTTTGCTCGCTATTTCGGGAGCAGTTCGGGGCTGTGGAGAAGTGAGCCGTCGGTCTCTCATCCCGGCTTTTCTTGACGCTGGTTTTAACCTTCCTGCTTGCTGCGGTTTGCCAGAGGGAAAGGTCGACTGGTACAGCCCCTCCAGCCCAAGAGAACGAACTGTCCCTGGATGCAGGATTGCTGGAGGGCAGGCAGAATCCATGCATGGACACCCACAGTGGGGCTTGATAAATATTGGATGAGACATGCCGGACAGCGGGGCACTGTGTCGCAGTAGGGTGAGGGTGAATGCAAGGCTCTCAAAGGAATGCATTGTCCAGGAGCAGTGTCTGTTGGATATCCAACGTCAGGGTTCCTGGGAACCAACCTGACCTGGTGCAGTCAGCCAGACATGGCTGTCCAGTTTGGGGCTCTGGCTGGATGGAAGAAGTGGCTTTTCTGCAGGGGTGGTAGTGGGAAGAATGGGGCATTCCTGAGACATCAGTGACACAAGTGTCTCCTGCCATCTGCTGGGGGGGGGGGCAGGCGGCAGGAGCTGCCAAGCAATGGCACTGTCCACACGCACACTCTGGCTCAGTAGAGTTCTCTTCTCCTGCACTTAGGTGTGCACTGTGTGTGAAGTACTTGGACTGTGTTGAGATTTTTGAAGAGGAAAATGTGTTAAACTTACCTTCACCGGTGTGTAGGCTGGGGCTGACTTGGTTTATCTGATGATTACTGCCCGTTGGCTTGTCATGTGCCAGGCCCTTGCACAGGACGCAGTGCCCCATGTGGTAGGCAGGATTCAAAAGCCACTGGCAGTCTGTTCTTTTCGTCACTTTGTAGCATTTAATTTTTAAATGAAAAATTCCAAGTTTAGTTGTAAAATTATGAAAAATCTGCTTGTAGATTTAAAAAGATGAGCGAGCACATAGTGCATTCAGAAAGGACCCAGACGTGGACAGCCTCAGTCTCGCCTGGTCCTCCCCACCCAGGGCCCGGGCTGCTCCTACTGCTGCTGCCAGCTGATCCTGCGGTGGTGTGGACACCCTGCGTGGCCACAGCTGTGGACACCCGTCGACTTGGCTTCCCTCATCTCCTGTCACGGTGCTGCATGGCATATTCTGATAAATATTCTGATAAATGGGTGTGGGCAAGATGGTGTAATTTTTTTGTTATTGAAATCCCTTCACTGTAAGTCTTCGTTAAGAACTGGATTTTATCCCCTTGAACTCTGTGATTAGCTGTCGGTACACAGGACCGAAGCATATCATTTAAATAAATAGGTGGTAGTTAGAAAACACCTACTCACTGGTAGTTAGTGAGGTAATACATTCACTGGCCTTTTAAAAAAAAAAACAAAACAGCTAAAAGAAAGTTATCCAGTTTGTTATGAAGCCAGAAAGTTAGAGCAGTCCCTTTTTTGGGGAAACTTGATGGGTTTCCACATCAGCTTCCTGAATGCCAGTGGCCTGGTCCATAGCTTGGGATGTACTGTCAGCAAACCCCTTATTTATAGAAAATGTGTAAAGTAGGAAAGGCAAGCCCTGTTTCCCGCAATGCTGCATATTGTCATTGTGATGATCTCTTTCTTCCTTGTCTGTCCTGAGTTGTGGAATTTTTAAACTTTTGCCTGACTTACTGGTGTTCTTGAATAGATGCAATTTATTTTATTCTGTTTCAGTGAGAAGTATTTCACCTCAGTAAGTTATTTTTTGCCTGTAATTATTATGGGACTTTAAATTGTGATGGCACAGCTTCTTGGGATGTGGTTGGGGAGGATGAGGAGCCAGTCCAGGTACCCATGCTGCCTCTGGGTGTAGCTTTGCCTGTAGCTGACCATTGCAGGACCAGCGCCATTGATGTCCAGGATAACCGCTCGTGTCCTCTCTTGATGATCTGGTGAGTGTCACTTGCAACTTGTCTTCAGCACTGTGCTGGTCTGTTGTGCTGTCTCAGGAGGATGCCAGTGACTGGCTTCAGCTTTGGTGGAGTTGAAATTAAGAAGTGAGGGTAGGAGCACAGTGGGCTGGATGCTGCCCGCTCCGGGTAATGGGATCCGGGCCTGGTCTTGTTTCTCTCCTTCCCATGGCCCACTCCCCAAACCAGGTGCTGTTCTAGGTGCTGAGCCCTGTGGGGATGGGCATTTCCTGCCCCTGGGGTTCATTCCCTCAGGCCCAGGCCTGTGAATGGGACCCCAAGGCCCCAGGAGCCCCTGAAGCGGTAGAAGGCCCAGCAGGTGGTGTGGGGCACATAGGTGGTGGAGGAGGCACTAGAGACCTGACTGAGGATGGGGGTCCCCAAAGGCCAGGGAGGTCAGAGGGCGGGGAGGAGTGCATCTTAGGGGTGCTTGGGCTGTGCAAGGGATTTGGGCTTAATCCCAGGGTGATGGGGCGGCCCTGGGAGGCTGCCACCTACCTTCCCTCACCCCTCTTCCTTGTAGAGTTTGTATCTTCTAGAAGCATCACTTGGCTGGTAGGTGGGCAGAAGCTTGTGAAGTGTCTGGGCGTTCCACCCGCTTTAGTGCATCCGTTCATGTTCCTCTCAGGACAGCCCGGAGGGTGGGCTTCACTGCCATCGTACCCAGTTATAGGCAGAAAGGTCTGCTTACCCAGGTCACAGAGTGAAGGGGGGGTGGTGGTTGTGCTCTTCCCACCTTCTACCCTGTGGCAGGAAGCCAGGCAGGTCAGCGAGAGGCCACTGGAACTAGGTGACCACGCTGGGTGACCACGCAAGGCCCCGCTGGGCGGCGGTGTGAGATCAGATTCCTCACTGTGTCCCCACACTCCGATCGATGCCAGCATTTGTAAGCCCCACAGGTGTGCTTTGTCCCCTAACAAAAGGAAAACATGGCCAGTGAGAGGGTGACGCTTTGCTTTTGCGTCACTCGTCACTCGTGATGGTGTCTGCTTGTCCTGTAAGAGCTCAGACTTCGAGCACAGACTTTTAGGATTATATCACTGTTGCATTTTCAGAAGGCAGGGAAATTGAAGTGAGATGGAGTTGCTATAACCTTCCTTCACCTTTGGGATCTGGTTCTTCTGAGGCAGTTTTTGCCTGGGGTTGGTGCTGTGCTCGGCCGGTGCCAGGATGGGGACTCATACTTGGTATTGGTTGGGGATCCTGGGACTGCCGGGATGGTGATGCAGGTGTGAGGTCGAGGTCCCCTCTTACAGGGCGTGTAGCTGGGGGTGCCGTGTGGTGGGTGTCCTGTGCCTGTGTATCGGCTTGAGGAATGGCAACTTGTGTCTGGTAGCGAGGTGGCATCGATACACTGGGCAAAGGTTGGACGCCTGAAATAGTACCTGACTCCCAGTATTCGGGGAGGTTTGCTGCGCTTAGTGTTTTTATGATTAGTCATTGGTAGGGAGACGTTTGGATACACATAGACATTCAAGGTCAGGTCCGAGAAGACACCGGGCCAGATATGTAAATCTGGAATTTTGTGTCTGGCTGGTGTCTGAGGCCACAAGCTGGGCAGAGAACAGATGGTAGGGACACTCGGGGACTCTGCCAAGGGTCTGCTGGTGACAGGGTCTGCTGGAGAAGGAGTAGAGTGGGAAGCCCTTCTTGGCTGGACTGGAGAGGTTGGAGTACCCCCTCGGGGTGGGGGAGAGGCAGGCCAAGGGCAGAGCCAGGGGGACAGCGCAATGACTCCTGGGAATGTTGCCAGAGGCGAACAGCCCGAGGGAGGCAGGCGGGTGCCTGCATGTTCCTGAGCAGCCAAAAAGCGTTGTTGGAAAGGCCCAGGAAAGGAAAGGGAAAGAGGTCCCAGAGTGGAGGCCAGACCCTCACTTCACTGGGAAGCATTTTGAAGACCAGTGGCCTTTTAAAGGGGAACAGAAAGCTGAATGTGGCTCAGCATTCAGCCCGGGAGCTGGGGGAGTATGCCTAGGAGTTAGGGTTCAGCATCTCACCAGCTGACCTGCTGGGAATTCTGCTTTTTAATTCTACTCTTTCTGAAGGTCTCCTGAGGTTGGTGCCCTCATCTGCCCAGCCAGCTCTGCCCAGAGGGGCAGAGGCCCAGGAGCAGGCAGGTGATGTCCTTGGCCTGTAGACTGTGCTGTTCATGCTGCTCATCCTTCAGCCAGTGGCACCTCTTACCTGAGTGAGTCTGGGCTGGAGTGCGTTTTGGCTGTTGGATGTTTGGGTCTAAAGTTGCGAGG